TCCCTTCCAAGACTTTCCCCTCACCAACCCATTTCCTACATGGATAGCAGAGTCTAAGCTGCAAATTTGTGTCACTTTCCTGCTTTGAGGTGTTTCAGTGACCCTGCTCCTACCATAGTGCGTGCACAAGTCAGTCAGCTCCAAATGACAGACATACCAGTCAAAATAGCTTCAGTGAGGAATCTGTTGACTCATATAATTGAAGCCACCCACTGGTGCCTTTGGACTGGCTGTAGAAGTTCAAAGATTGGCATTAAGGTTGCCTCATCTTCCTGATTCATCCCTTGGTTCTTTTCTTCAGTTGGTTTTATTTCTAGACAGGTTCTGTCTTTGTAGAAGCAACCCAGCCATTGCCATCTTCAAGCCCACATGGTCCTTAAGATTCAAGATCCCTGAAGAGGTGAGAGGGCTTCGATTTGCCTGGCTCAGATGCTTTCCTTGAATCCAGTCTCTCTAGAATGGAATGAAGACTGACACCGAAGGGGAAGAAGTGTTTTCCCAAAGGAAGAGATTTTAGGCAATGATCTACCACCTGTGTTACTTGCTGGTTTCTAGCTGCATCTCAACTATTTTCCAGGAGCATGCCAGGCTCACCTCATTGTCTCTTATTCTGTACATACTGCTGCATTGGCTCTTTTCTTCATTAACACCTTCAAGATCATGAGATTTCTCTAGGGTGCCTTTCTAGACGTTCCCAGTCTTGGCTGGGCACTCATTTATGTGGTCTCATAAGCATGTCATGAATACTCTTGACATCACACAATGCTTTGTTGCAACTGTTTGCATGAATTCTCATCTCACTACACTAGCTCTTTGAGTTCTGTTATTGCACAATGCTTGGCACATGGTAATTACTTCCCACGTTTGTTGAATGACTGAAAGATAATCTCAGTACTGGTGTGTTTGTCATCAGCTTTCTATCACTGACAAAGTATCTGAAAAAAACCAACTTACACGAGGAAAGGCTAATTGGGCTTATGGTTTCTTTGGGCTCTGTAACTTTGGGCCTGAGGTGAGATAAAACATCATGGTGAGGGAACTCTACTAAGGAGATTGTTTCACTCATGGCAACCAGGAAGCAAAGAAAGTGAGGAAAGGGTCAGGGACCTTCAAGGACTGGTACCCTGGGATCTACTTCCTTCAATGCTCTCTGCCCCTAGCTTCCACCACCTCCTAATAGTCAATTTAACTCAACAATGGGTGAAGCCGCTGATGAGATCAGAGCCCTCATGACCCAATCACTTGCCAACATCACTGCATGGGGACTGAGCCTTCAACACTCAAGACTTTGCGGGTATTTCAGGTCCAAACCATAACAACGAATGAGACTGCCCTGCTTCTCACAGAGAAATGTTTCTATTTATCCAGGAGTAATATAGAATCCATCTTTAAAAAATACACAATACACTGTGTCTGGATGTCCCCCCAAAGCCTCACATGGTCATGGGGGTGGGCTTTTCAGAGTCAGCTGATTCTAAAGTTTGTGACTGATTCATGGTCTAATGCTGAGATTAATGGTGTGAGTGCTACAGCCACCCTAGGGCAGGTATCCTGCATACAATATAAGGGACAGACATAGGCTTAATCTCCTCTCCTACTTTTGCTGTCTCCTGCCACCATGAACTGTTGCCCTCTGCCATGTGCCACCCTGCCTTGGAGCCACCCAATTAGGGACTGAAATCACTACACACTGTGAACTAAATAAATCTTCCCTCCTTTAACTTTGCATGTTGGGTATTTTGTCTCAGTAACGAGAAATGTTAAGACACACACATAACTTGTTAATTTGTGATAACGAAGTCGACATGAAATGTAAATAATATTAAGTATTAAACTAAATTAAGCATCATTGGTCTTTGAATATGTTATACTCTTTTGAAACACTGGTGGATCTGATTTGTTAGATCAGGGGGGTCTTGTAGTTCACACACCTGTAAGGGATTTAAGAACAGAATTCCACCGATGTTAACATGGACAAGGAAAAATTATTTTCACTAGACTATAACTAAAATTCCTTCAATTATAAATACAGACAACAATCCAAAGTTGTATTAAAAGTATCTTTGACTTTGTCAATCATAGATACCAGGTATTTTCTTATCACTTTACATTTGTTGCAGATGTGTTATTTATGCTACTTCAATGTCGTATCAATTAGATGCCTTCCTAGATTAAACTCACACATACATGTTACTGTGTATCAGAATTTAACAATTTTGCTAAATTACATTTATATAATTTTTTAATAATTTCATGCATTGCACTTTCTTTGCATTTAAGAACATTATTCTGAAGTTTGTCCATGGCACAAAAAAGTTGAAGTGATCAAGGTATTTCTTTAAAATGAAACGAGACTAAAGTGTGATGATCTGACTCAAGAGAAACATAAACTGTTTCTAATGCCATGCTAAGTATACAGATCATAGGCCTCAACAATTCTAAAACTACAACCCTAAGAAAAGATGCACTCTCTTTGAAATTTTATCTGGACAGAAAAGCCATGTAATTAGTCTGAAACGGTCTCTGGGCAAGGTTGGAAAAGCAGAGTAGGTGTATCTGGACCTACTTAAAAACTTCTAACTAAATGCTGCAGACACTGGCTTACAGGCTTTTAAAGAAGGAAGATTTAATTTCCCTGCGCAGTCATCTGCATAGATACCCCTAGAATACAAATTCACGTACCGAGACTCTTAGGACATGCTCTGTAAAGCTGTGGTCTCCTTTCTAATGTGTTTGATGGCAAGGATCTGCTGAAGTAAATTTCATTTGGTTTCTGCGGTTTACTAGTTTTAGTTCCAACAGGAAACAGGCAGTTCTTATACTGACAGCTGAGGACACGATACCAAAGTGAGGAAATGGGGGACACAGAAAGGAAGGACAGCAGCTTTAGAAATCCCAGGTTCTTAGCATCAAAACTAACATTATCTTCAGATAAAGGAGAATGCAGTGGTGCAGGCAAGTTTGGGTGAAGTGGTGACTTCTGAGTGCTGGCAGCCCCACTGGGGGAAGAGCAAAGAGAACATACACCCTGTCCGACATGAGCTAGGATATGAGCTGGCCAAACCCATCTAGAAGCCAACTGGCCTAGAGCCCACTGCTGTGGACCATTAAGGTCAGCCTCCTGGGGCAGAGAGCAGAGTGGAACTCGGAGGGGCAGGTGAGAGATACCCAGACCCATCACAGCATGTGTATAACACTATCTGATGGTGCAAGAGGGCAAAACTGGATTTTTATTCAAGGCTGTGTCCAGTATGGTTAACTACTCACTATTAGTAAATGAACACAGGAAACATCGCTCTAACAGTAAAAGCAAATTATTTACATAAAAATGAGGATCTATTTATTCAAGACACAGCAGTTACTTAAAAAGCTACTTCAGGGCTGGGGATATAGCTCAGTGGCCCAAGCACCTGCCTGGCAAGAGCAAGGTCCTGAGTTTGATTCCTGGTACCCCCCAAAAAAAAGAAAAAAAAAAAGAAAAAAGGGGAGAAAAACTACTCAAATGCTGGAATATGATGCAGCAATAAATCCTGTTCGCCAGGCAGGTAAACATCACAACTTTATAGTTGAATGTGGTCAATCTGTATTGAGGATGTATACCTGTAAATTTGCCTACAATTTTGGTGGTGCTTTTTGCAGCCATGTGTAGCATAGTAAGAAACGCAACTTGTCTATTCTTTGCTGAGGTCGAATGAGGTCTTCCTATTCTAGCTCTCGTATTTATAGAAGTGTCCTTTGTGCTTTATTTAATGCCACTGTTTTTCACTTTTGTGTGTCAGGGGATTGAGATAACATCTCACTATGTGCCCCAGGCTGGCCTCAATCTAGCTACGTAGCATAGTGTGGCCTTGAACTTGTGAACATCCTGCCATAGCCTTCCTGGTGCTAGGATTACAGGAGTGTGCAACCACATGTGAGTGATTTCACCTTTTAAATGGCCCAAGAATAGTGCTGAAGAGCCATCTAATGTTTCTTAAGTGCAAAACTTCTGTGACGTGCCTCGTAGAGAAAATACTGATGTTAGAACAACTTCATTCGGGCATGAGTTACAATGCAACTGACTGTAAATTCATGTTAATGAAGTAAAAATATATATTAAATAGTTTCTTTAAGCCAGGCATGGTGGCGCATGCCTGTAATCCCAGCACTCGGGAGGCTGAGGCAGGAGGATCATTGCAATCATTGCGAGTTCGAGACCAACCTGGGCTACATAGTGAGCTTTATGCCGGCCTGAACTGCATAACTAGACCCTATCTCAAAAAGACAAAAAAAAGTTTCTTTAAAATACATCTTTCAAAAGTATATATATTACTTCACTGATGAAAATGCTGTAACTGAAGGTTGCAGACACCTAGCCTTGCACTTCCCCTAGGTGCAGTGGTTACTGATTCAGTGTCCACAATAACTTCACAGAAGCACTGCAAATAACAAGAATCAACTGTGCATGCAGTTTTCCAGTTTGTGATAAGGAAAAAATTCAATTTACAAAACACACTTATCTCTGTTCTCACAGATTATTGCCCCTTAGGGATCACACCAAATATTTATAGAAATGTGTACCAACAGTCCATTAAGAATTCACACACATCAGTAAGAAGCTGACTTTCATGACTGCCATGCTCCACATACATATCTTTAAGACTAGACAGAGTATATATATTATAAAGAACTAGGATAACTACTGAGTGCCTGGGTATTTCATAGTAGTAAAGGTTAAAAAAACCACTTTTTATTTCTGAAAAACACTTTTGGTACAACGTTCACACTCCAAAATATTATTATTATTAATGTGACCAGTGATTAAGAAGCTCAGAAGCTATTATTATGCATAACTTCACTGTAGATGTCTACAAATGTGAGGGAAAGTACCCAGGCACTAAAATCGATGAACAGTTGCTAACAGAAAACTCAAAATGATTGCTAGACTGAGTTGCTTTAATATCAAATAGCCACATGTCTGTCCACTTACAGGGAATATTATAAAGAAGCAACCACCAAGCCATGTTTAATAAGATATGTCCATGTATTTTTTTCACAATTAGAGAATGTAACACTTTTAGTCAAACACCTAGATGGTAAACAGCCCAAAGAAAAAAAACTCCACCTATTTCAACAACAAAGCAAAACACGCTGTGACTCAAAGAAAGTCATTTAATATTTTCACTATCAGTTTGTAGAGTTTAACTCCAAGGAATGATTATGCTTGTAAGTAAACAAGATTTTTCTAAGATTTTTAACTATAGCTTGCAAGACAAAAATCAAACTGCAAAACCAGTTTGAAGCAATTACAGTCCAATGGTTCTCTATGTTTTCTTTTATAGCCTTTATTTTAAATTGATATTTTAGAACAGTAAATTACCTTTCGCAGCAGTGCCTCTTGGTCTGAAAATACAGTACCTCATTTCTGAATGCAAAGATTTAAAATAAATTGAAATGAACATTAAGGCGTACAAACATCTGCTTTTAAGTCTGCTCTTATGTTGGTAAGGATCAATTTTTACTTATATTCAAATATATGGAATGTTGGCACAAACTGAAGTTGCTGTAGAAAGATTACAGATGTCCCATGGGTTATCCAAACTTCCATTTCTCTAAAAACATAACCTTACATGATCTTAATTTTACAAATTTAAGTATTGAGAAATGTCTAAATAATAAGTAACAATTAAAATAAAGTTTTATTTGTAAATTATGTACAGAATACGCTTTATGTTATGACAAGGGGATGGGGAAGAAGAGCCACCACCTTCCAACCAGAGCTCTTCACGTTCCTGCTGGAGATGACCATCTTTCTCTGAATCAAGTGTACAACTCAGTTTGGATTTCCTAAGTTGGAAAGGAGAATTTGTAGCTAAATCAAAAATGTTCGTGCACTGTTACTAGTTGGCCTTTTCCCACCAAAGTTTGAACACTGCTAACTCAGTCTTTTAAGAAATTTCCTGGTAGAATTTTATAATGAAAAACAAAAGTATAACTATCAAGAACAATGAGTTTAAGTATTTTAACCTAAAGAAACTAGGAAATGGCTACATAAACTATAAATAATCTGAAATGTTGGGAGTTTATTCCTTTTATTTTGATTAATCTAACAGTAAAAAGCCATATAACTATCAAAAATGCCCTTAATCTAAAGGTCATGTGGAAAATGCATCTTTGATAACTATCAAAATGAGACCTACTTACTGTAAAATTATCAAATGCATAAAACTTATTAATGGCTTTAGACTGTACCAATAATAGTACCAATATTCTATAAAATGAAGGACTGAATAGAACTTCTTGGCTGTCAAATACTTTCAGTAAATGGACTTAAAGAATGCTACAAATGCCACATGTACATTATGATGATCTGCCAACATAGAAAATCCAACCTCTTGCACTTATTCAGTCCCCAAATTAGTCAGATTATGATTTTTCGTGTGAAGATTTAGGTGTTTTTCCATCGTCTTCATCCTCTTCCTCTTCACAATCCCCATCTGTTTGCTGTTCCAGTTCCTCTTTTGTGATCATTTCAAAATCATTCCCATTTCCACTACTGTGCTGGGATCTGTCATCTTCCCTCCTGTCACTGTCTGTGTCTGAATGCCGTTCTCCACCTGAGCCTTCCGTTCCATGATTTCCTGCACCTACTTTTCCTTCCTCGTCTTCCTTTTTCTCACTGTCTGACTTTTCCTCACTGTCAGACTTCTGCTGCTTTTTGGTTTCAGATTTTTCATCTTTCTTTAATTCTGCTTTTGGTCCTTTGTATTCATGTGTGTACAGAGGCCTGAAGGAGTCAATGAAGCCCACGTCAGCAGTCAGATTAGGCAAGAACCAAAAGTGGTGCCTTCCTCCAGTTATAAGCCAAATGATGAGAAACAGAATGCAACGAGCTGTGGGTAGAAAAATTTCTCTAATTTAATGATCAATCACTGACATGAATAGCAGGGAATATTTGTCAATAAAAAAAACCTATGAAAACATTTACTTTTATTTGCATATTTCATATACCATAGTTATGAATTTTAAAATCCTGACTGGTTAACAACTATCACAATATGCTAAGAGCAGTGTACTCTGAACTTGAGGGTAAAATTCTATAATGACACTCCTAAAAAATTCTATTTTCATCTGGACACTGTTTCAGACGTACTTATGATTTCTGTATTTTATAATGTTATAGTACTTCAATAAACATAGTAGTCAGTTGGTAAGCATTCATGAGGTCATGGTGTAAGAAGAAAATGTTGAGTAACTGATGAAGGATACAGAAGGAAACCTTTAAAAGGAATGAGCACAGCTGCATCATGACTTCCCGAGGCACTAGATACTTTTATTTCTATAGGACACATCCTCTATACACTAAAACTATACTTTGGCTGGGTGTGGTGGTGCACACCTGTAATTCCAGCACTTGGGAGGCTGAGGCAGGAGAATCGTTGCAAGTTTAAGACCAGCCTGGGATACAAAGTGAGCTCAAGGCCAGCCTGAAATGCATACTGAGACCCTATCTCAAAAAAAAACCAAAAAACAAAAAACTATACTTTGTATTATGTTATAAATGCAAGTACAGTACTGCATAGTACTTAAAATATATAATTACTATTGTTGATTTTAAAAGAATGAAAATGAAAACACTTCTGTGAGTCCCTATCATGGGCCCAAAGCATGTGCTTTTACTCTGCCTAAAGACTGGGCGAACCTGGATAAAGAATCCTAGCACTGGCAAGTTTCCCTCTTTTAGTTCTTTTTGTTTTATTAGGTAAATTATTTAATTTTTGTTTATTTAAAAATGAACTCTCCCAATACTAAGAAATAATACAAGCCATGCACACAGTAGTGCACACTAATACTCCTAGTAGCTGGCGGCTGAAGCAGGAGGATCACAAATGCAGCACCAGCTTATGTACTTCATGAGATCTTGTTTTAAAAACATTTTAAAAAGAGATGAGGATGGAGCTCAGCGAGAAGGCCTTAGGTTTAATCACCAGTATGGGGGCAGGTGGGCAGTACAATGCTAACAAAAGCAAGGTCTCACTGCGTGGTGGCTTGAACCAGTGGTAGAACATGCAGGACTGTCCAATCAGGCACTGGTATGGAAAGTCATACATGTAAAGGCCCTCTTGCGAATGTGTTAAACACGAATGGGTTATGAGGTTACATTTTTAGAATAATATCCCAAACCTGTGGGCTAATGAAATATAAATTTAAAAATTTATAGTAATAGTTTTCTTACAATTATATCACTGTTTTCATATCTATACTCCTATTATTATTTTGCATAAATAAGAGAAAATGGTTATAGCTACCTTGCCTGCTATAAAATAGTATTTATAAATAAACCACCTTATTTATAAACTAGTACTTTTATTTTCACAACAACATTGTGTATACTGAAAGAATATTACATGTTAGACTCTTTCACGGCACAAACAGAAAAGGTAAATTTTGTTTGAAATTATGGTTTCAGAATGTCACTGATAGAAGATAATAAATGATGTTTAAGGAGGCTACATTTTTTTTCCAAACATATTTATGATGCTACATTTTATTTTTAAATTTTTCTAATTATTTTTTTAAAGTTTTTATTATTTTTTAAGATAGGCTCTTATTACAATTATTATTATTTTTAAATACAAGGTCTTGCCATGTAGCTGAGCTCACTAGGTAGCCCAGGCTGGCCTTGAGCCTGCAGCAATCCTCCTGCCTTAGCTCCTGAATACTGAGATTACAAACATGCACCACCATGCCTGGCTATGCTATGATAGGTTTTATAGGGTTGTAATTACAGAGAGATGTTCAGAGTAATGAAATCTTGTATGTATCCAAAAAAAAAGCAGTATAGAAATGACACAAAAAATTAGTTTTTTTTATCACATATAAACTGGACATAGCAGAACTATAACATGCTTTACAGTTTTTCTCCATGTGGCATTATATTAACAGGAGTAAAATGAGAAGAATCATAAAAAACAGACGTGTACTGTCAATACCACTCGTGTACTAAAATGACGCATTTTAGAAAAATGCCAAGTCTTATTTTAATGGTGATATTAATAATGCATGCTCTTGGTAACAAACATAATTCAGAATATATAATAGTTCATACAATATAAACAAATCAGAATTACTGTATCTGAAAGAATATACGAGGCTGTGCTTTCTAACAGAATCAACATAAAATATTGGGTTTGCGTCCTACTTTAATTTTCTACTTTAACTTGCATAACGTGTGTTTAAATTCATAGGAATTTAAAATATTTAAAAAAAACCACTGAAGAAATTTAAAAAAGCAAAACAATACAATGGTTATAAACTGTTGTTAGTGCTGCCTTAATTTTTTTTTTTTTGGTGTTGGTTTTTTTTCCGGTACCGGGAATCAAACTCATGACCTTGCGCTTGCCAGGCAAGCGCTGTGCCGCTGAGCTAAATCCCCAGCTCCAATGCTGCCTTAATTAAAAGATAGGCATTTTGAACAATTTTGTTCAACAGAACTAAATATCACAGGTCGCGGTGGTGCACACCTATAATCTCAGCACGTGGGAGACTCAGGCAGGAGTTTGAGGTCAGCCTGGTTACACAGTCAGACCCTGCCTCAACTAAAAAAAAAACAAAACTAAACTTCTAGTGAAGATTTTCAAGGAGTTTTTGAATTTCATTGGTTTGAGAGCCATTAATTTTATATCTAATGTCAGATTAAAGTTTATGGTTTTTCTCTTTGATTAACACCAACACTACTTACCTTCTTAACAAGCTTAGATAATAATTCTTGGCCTATGATTGTGCTTGTGCCCCTGAACTAGCAGGACATTTTCTCAAGGTAACTGAGTTAGAAGATGGAAAAAAATGAATAGGTGGAGAAGGTCTTCCTTAAGAGTTATAGATCACAGAGAAAAAAGGAGGTCCATAATACGATAGACTGAAAAAGACACTAGATAGGTTCCTGGGTCCATGGGTAGTAGCACCATCCTAGTGTACCCTGCTGTCAGGGTGAAGAGATGTACAAAGGGAGACTGCTTAGGACTATGGAGTAATACCACACACACATTACATATCACAGAATCTCAGAATAGCATGTACCCAGTTCAGATAATCTTGGTCAAATTCTGTCCTCTAACAACAGATTATTAGGTTGATACCATAGACATTGTTTTTCGTTACACAAATATTCTTCAGACTTGGTAGAAAAGTTGATTTGTCATTTGAGGAAAATAGCCAGAACTTCTTATCACACAATAATATAAACTAAACAGATCAAGGAATTCAATACAATTAATCCTAGGCAGCTCTAGATAAACTGAGAAAAATTCACATATCATTCCCAAAGTGAAAAATTAAAGAGTGGTCTGGCCTTTAAAGACACAATCTTCAAAGACGAGCATTTTAAGAAAAATGCTCTGTGGACAAAAATAGACAAGTGTAATTAAAAAATTAAAACCGTAACAAACACCACTGTATTCACACTTGGGTGCCTCTCCTTCCACCATTTAAATCTTTTGATGCTAACATCTAACAAAACTACCAGGCTTGGTGGCGCACGCCTGTAATCCCAGCACTCAGGAGGCTGTGGCAGGAAGAATGCTCCAAGTTAGAGGGCCAGCCTGGGCTACAAAGTGAGTACAAGGCCCGCATGAACTGCACAGTGAGATCCTGTCTCAAAAAGACAAACAAACAAAACTACACTAAAAAGTCTTACTAAATAGACCAAAAATCTCTCACTTCATTTACTGTTAACTAGTGATGAACATACGTATACATCTGTTAATCATTTGTTTTTTATTTTCTCTTCTGAAGGATGAAAGATTGGTTATATCCCTTACTATTTAATATTCCAATCCTCTCATGAATTGGTATGAGTATGTGGGAATTTTCATCTTTTGCCTGTCCTGGCAATTTGTTGTTTGGTCTGCTTTTGAAGTGAAAAAAATTTTTTTCTTAATTCTTATGTGATCCACATCTATTAGCTTTTCTTTTGTTTATACTGCTTATTAGCCAAGAAAGTGTTCAATCATCCAGAAATGAAAAAGAAAAAAATCATTTACGTTTTACTGTTTGATTTTTAAAACATTTAATTCCTTAATACATCTAGAATTTAATCTGAATAAAAATTACTAATTTTCCCTGAAGTGGCAAATTGCTTAGAACCATTCACTGAATGTAAGCACAGAACTGAAATATTTAATACAAGCTGCATTTACCTCACTTTTGTATTTTGAAATACAAAAACAAATTTACTCAAAGTACACTTAATGACCGATCACTGCAAAAACATTAAATCTTTGCTATAGCTAATTTTAAAAGCACATCTATTTGCAGATTTAATAACAGTTTGAAATAACTGATGATAAATTTAAAATGTCTCATTATAAAAAAATGATAGGTAAACAAGTGATAGACACATTAGCTTAAATCATTTCCCATTGTACATACATTAAAACATCACAGTGTACCCTATAATGCACGTAGTTATTTGTCAAATCAAATGTAATACTAATAAAAATATTTTTTAAAAAAGATACAGTAAATCCCTTTTCTTCACATTACATGCCAATCTAAGTCTGAGTCAGTTTTTGGATTTGACAAAGAATACAGGACCACATTTACTGATTTAGCCACATTAATTTTGAACTTTCCTGAAGCTCTAGATTATAGTCCAACTGCTTCGTATCTACCTTACTAGGTTAGTTTTACTAATAATACTTACCAACAGCAAGGAGAAGAATGCTGGCCACAAAGCACCCGGCGCCCACACTGAGGTAATAAACACCTACTCTCATTTCTGTCGGCCAAAGTGGGAAGAGGGTGGCTGCTATTACTGCAATCACTGCAACAAGAAATGATAAAGTTACATAGATAACTTGTAGAATAAAAATGTAAATAACATGATTGCAATAATAAATAAACATATTCTTAGGGGGACAACCTCTGACACAAATAATGTAAAAATCCCGATTTTTAAAAATAAATAGTAGTAAGTTATGGGGAAGTTCATTATTCAACTGAATATTTTATCCTCTTTTTAGATTGGATAATTTTCAGTTCAAATCACATTTAATTAGAAAAAAAGCTGTCTAAAAATTCAAAACTGTTAGTTGGGCACAGTGGTGCACACCTGCAACCCCCGTACGCAGGAGGTTGAGGCAGAAGGATCGCTGTGAGTTCAAGGTCAGCCTGACCCACACAGTGAGACCCTGTCTCAAAAACAAAAACCAAAAAACCTGTTGCTTAAAATGATCAACCATTATCACTTCCAAGCTATGTCTACATTATTTTTGAATATTAGGTTATCTATCTACTGAGTGGGGAAGCTTAAAGAAATAAATCACAAAAATAGAAAAGTACTAAGACCTCACCCTGGAGATTCTGATTCTAGGATTCAGTTCTGACGCCCACAGAAGCTCGCAGGCAATTCTACTACAGACAGTTTTTTGGTAGTTAGGAAAACACATCTCTAGTATTTTTGCAGTAAAATGGGGTAAGATGAAAGAATTGTACGAAATTAGAAGACTGGTTATTAGGTCTGTAGAGTTAGAACCAGTATTAAATTCTAGTTCTACCATTCATAAGCTAAGTAATCCCGAGCAAATCACTTCATTCTTTTGAGGTTGTTACCTTATATTTAATAAATGCCTATTCTTATTTCTTAAATGTTGTGAGCATAAGACAGTGTGTAATTTAGGTTTAACTGAGCTTTAACTCATCATAAAAGAGGTGAATTTTTTGGTTTTTGTTTTGTTTTTGCAGTGCTAGGGTTTGAACCAGGAGCTTCCATATGCTAGACAAGTGCTCTACCACCGACCTACTCCCACAGCCTTCTTTCATTTAAGACAGGGCCACACTAAGCTGCCCAGGCTGGTCTCAAATTTGTAATCCTCCTCTCAGCCTCCTCAGCAGCTGGGATTACAGGCATGCACTACTATGCCAAACAGTTGTTTGGAGTGAGATCCTATGATATTATATTGGCCAAACTAATTTTAACTAATTTTTTTTTTCCCTGTTTGCTAAATCATTTTTTCCTATCCATCCTTGCCTGCCCTAAACTTAAAGAGAAATACACATTTATATTAAAAAACCAAATCAGAAACAAAAAAGTATAGTAAAAGATTAAGTCTTCATCCAAATTCTTATTTTACTCCTCAGGGGCTAGTTAAACTTACAGTGTATTTCTAGAGACTTCCTATATATAAACTAGCTACACAAAATTTTTAAAAAGTAAACAAACATAATTCTTAAGCTTGCAACTACCTTTTCATATCTAGTCTAGGCATCGTTCCATCAGTACATTCCCTCATTCTTTAAAGGCTGCACAGTATTCTATTACACTATAATTTATTTCACCCTTTTCCGGTTGAGAGACATTTTTCTTTTCAGTTTTAACCTATACCAGACAATAATAATACAAGTATCCTTGTACATGTAAATTTGTGCAAATATGATTACATAATAGAATCAATTCCTTTAAGGGGAATTATAAGGTCAAAAGTAATAGGCATTTATACTTTGAATGTTATTTGTTAGAGTGCCCTCTGCAAGTCTGAGAAATATGGATTAAAATAAGCAACACATTGAGGTGGGGGGCACACATGCCTATAATCCCAGCACTTGAGAGGCTAAGGCAAGAGGATCGCCACAAGTTCAAGGCCTGCCTGGGCTACGAAGTGAGTTCAAGGCCAGCCTGAATGTGAGACCCCGTCTCAAAAAACCAAATAAAATAAAATAAGCAATACGTCAATGCGTACACTTTGGGCAACTGCAAGCATAAAAAGGGAAAAATTCCTAGAAGTAGAATTGCTGAGTCAGTTTTATGTGCATCTAAAATTATTTATTTGTTTTTTTGTTTTTGTTTTTCTTCCAATACCATGAATTGAACTCACAACCTTGTGCTTGCCAGGCAGGCGCTTTGCCGCCGAGCTAAATCCCCAGCCCCTAAAATTATTTTATTTATACACTTTTTAAAACTGGGATGGAATCCAAGGCCTTAAGAATACCAAGTTCTATCCTAGCCCGGCATTTAAAATATCAAAGGTATTATCAAATTGCCCTCCCTAAAACTGAAGCAGTGGATATATGTACCAATTCTGGCAAATGCTGATTCTTCTAAAACTTTCGCTATCAACCTTTGTAATCCTTACAATCACTATTGCTTTGCTTTGTATTTATTATGAGAGTATTATTTATGAGGATTGGTCACTACATTTCAATGTCTATGAGCTACCTTTACCATTTTTCTACCAAGTTGTAGATCTTCACTTTACTGTTATAAACATTCTCCTTAGTTTATCACTTATCTTCTGGTTTTAAAGTATACTCCTTGAGCAGTAACTATTTTACATTAATTTTAGAAATGTCTAATTTTGTGGTGCTGTTTTTAAATTTTAGACTGTACTTTAAAGTTATTACATGTTGATACTTACCAAGAATTAATCCCATGACAAATGTTTTAATGTGAACTGGGTCATAGATCCACACATAAACCTGTAAATATCAAGAAATCTCAGTGCTTAAATGTTCTAAGGTCACATTAGAAAGTAAAGTTTAATTCTGTATTTTAGGTTCCCTAAAGCAGTCATCAACTTTTTTTTTTTTTTGTCTTTTTGAGACAGGGTCTCGCTATGCAGTTCAGGCTGGCCTTGAGCTCACTTTGTAGCCCAGGCTGGTCTCGAACTGGCAACGATCCTCCTGCCTCAGCCTCCCGAGTGCTGGGATTACAGGCATGCGCCACCACACCCGGCTCAAACTTCTTAACATATAAGAACTTAGTTTCTGATGTAACTAAATTCTAAAGGCCATTCCCCGTCAGTATTAGAGTGGCATCCACTCAGGTAAAAAGCATATTCTGTAGCACACTTAAGTACACCTGCATATATATTCTGTAGCACATTTAAGTATATTTGTATATATGCTTAATAATCTGTTCATAAGTGTAAATTATTATTTATTCAATGTAACAGTAAGTAATCATCAGTCTTTTTGTCCCTAATATAATGATGAACCAGCTAAGAACACAGTTAAGATACATTCCAGGCAGGGCACAGTACAAATCCAGCAGCCCTAAAATTTACCCTTTTTTCCCTACTGACAATACACAAAGAACCTTTACTAAAAATCATATTTGGTGAATATAAAGATTCTTGGTGCTGGGGATATAGTTCAGTGGTATAAACGCCTGCCTGGCAAGCGCAAGGTCATGAGTTTGATCCCCGTACCACAAAAAAAAAAAAAAAAAAAAGAGAGAAAAGATTCTATGACTCCCTGTATTAATTTTTTTGCCCAATCCTCCATATATGGCTTATAACCTATTGCTTCAAAGCTTTATTTACTGTTAGCAGGCTATTTTTTATATAATAAAAATTTAAAGCATTCAGATTAAAACTATGCTCAATCATCATCCATTATACTCTTCAAGTTTTACTTCTTTAGTTCCCATAAATAACAGTACTTTTCAACTTCTAGCCGTATTTTGACTATAATTCTATACTGCTTCTGACTTTGTTCTTTTAACACCTGGGGTTCTACAGCAATCCCTACTTTACTCTGTACATTCTTCCTGGGAATCGGTTCCATAGACATTTCTTCCATCAGTTAGCATTTCAAAATAAACACTGAGAAAAAAAGAACAATTCCAAACTTTGAAAGCTTTGGGGTACTTGGAGCTTTCTACAGAATTAAATCTAACCTTTTCAGGATGGCAACCATGCAGCTTTTGCTCAGCCTGCTTCCTTCTTTAATGTACATGTAATTCCTCTGTGGTACGCTCGACATTCTGCCATCCAACCATGTTCAAGGCTCAGCTTAAGTGTCCAGGGTCTTCAGACCTTCCCTGTCCTTACTGATTAATTTCTCCTAATTGGTGTTTTCATATCATTAATAATTCACAAACTATAGTGACAGTAACATCTTTAAATGCTTGCATCTTTAATAGACTGTGTTTCCTTACGGAGAATTTCATTGGTATTTATCATGCTATTCCCAGCACCCTATAAAAATGTCTAGCATACAACTGGAGCTCAATGCTTAACTGAAGGCATCTGAGCCCTCATCTTGGGAAATACAGTCTATTATAGTGGTTCTTAACCATTAGCATCACTTGAGGACTCTTCATATAAAAATACCTCTTGGGCTGGGAATGGTCAAGCATGCCTGTAATCCCAGCACTAAGGAGACTGGGGTAGGAGGACAGCTGTGAGCTCCAGACCTGGCTACACTACACAATGAAACTCCACCTCCAAAACAAAAAACCAAAAATACAAGAAACTCTCTCAATCCTTTCCCTGCACTTGAGATTTTTATGTAAGTTTTCTAGCCCAGAACACTTATTTTTTAAAAATCTTTTCCAGAATTTCAAACACAGAAGCCACAACTTTATACATATGCTACTTTAGTACAGTGTAAGTGTACCAAGAAAGGATGTCTTAAAATTCGTAACAGTTCAATGGCCAGTTCATAGCTAACATTTTTGTATTGGTTCACAGAAGGCTGCTACCACACACTCCTGTTTAAAAGGATAAAATAAAAAGTATCTCAATGCATCAAGTAATGTTTAAAATTTTAGGATCCTCAAGTGATGTGTCTGACTACACATCATATGTGAGCAGAGCTCAGTATATTTTATTAGTTTGAGACAGTGTCTTGCCATGTAGCTCACGCTAGCCTTGAACTCACAGCAATCCTCCTGCCTCAGCCTCCGGAGTGCTGGGATTACAGGTGTGCATCACCATGCCTACCTTTTTTTTTTTTTTTTTAAATAATAATGGAAAGTCTGAATTTTCATCGAGCAAATAACCACCCAGCCTGAAATTCAAGTAGAAATGAAATCACATCTTCTGGGACATTGTCTTTAAAAGACAGTCTTAAGAAGTACATTCCTTACTCTCCTACTGTCCTTCCCTCTTTTAGATAAGACTGCCAATCACTCTGGACCATGAAGCAATCTTACTCAGAAATATCCCACAGAGAAAGCAAAGGAATTTGGGCCCACCATAATGCTTATCCCTAGATTACACTGACGAGAGCATATAAGGATCTATTTTATATTAAGCCACTACTTTTAGGGTTTCTATCATACACAGTCAAATCTGACTTTTTATAAATCTAAGTTTACACCAATTTAATTTTAAAAATAGAGCCATTTTTATATAAAGTGCATGACTAGATTTATCTCAATTGTTTCTTTTCTCAGTGAAGGCATCAAACAATTACTAAAAAATTTCCATGAAAAACTATTTCTAATCACAGGCTAAATACTCTCACCTCATTGCCATCCAGAAAAACTTGGTCATCATGTGGTTCAAGTTTGAATTTTTTCTTAGTTTCCTTCTTTTTGGGAGTTCCCGGAGTTTCTTCCTATGAAAACACGTAACACAAGCAAGCAGAAACAAAATGATGTTCATACAGCAAAAAGCTTTCACTACTTGTAACACAAAAATTTCCATCATATTTATAATAATCCTAATATGGTTAGCTGAATTACTTGATTAATATTTTAAATATGCTCATATGGCAGTAGATACTGTATACACAAAATGTTTTACTTTTACCTAATTTTAGTTGAACTTACCTTTTTGGAGTCTTCCTTTTCACCATCTTTTTTTTTCTCTTTTTCCTTTTTTGTCTTTTCTTCCTTTGTATTTTCTTTCTTGCTTTTTTTATCCTCTTCTTTTCCACTTTCAGTTTTTCCTTTATCCTTTTCTTTCTTTATATCTTTATCATACTTCATTTTCATTACTTTAAGTGCTCGGTGAAAAAACTGTTTCTTTAAAAGCCTTGAGTATAAAAAAAAGTTATAATGTTCCATTTCCTACCAACTACAGACACAGACCAAAAAGCAAAAAATATCATGACCCAAATAAAATGCACAAAGGAAGATATAAATTGGCAATTCACAAAAGAAATTACACTACCACTTATGGAAAAATAGTCAACTCCACCAAGTGAAAAAACTTTAGCCAATTAGATTATTGCGTATGGTTGTCAAAACTCAGTGATAATATAATTTTCACTTTTAACTGTATAAATTTAAGTAAAAGAGATAATTAGTTTTGAATTATTCTTATAAAGTAAAGCCTCTCTCTACATTCATTAAGAGTAATTAAGGCAGGTGTGGTAGCACACACCTGTAATCTCAGGACTCAGGAGTCTAAGGCAAGAGGATCACCGTGAGTTTAAGGCCAGCCTGGGCTACATAAGTGAATTCAAAGCCAGCCTGCACTACACAGTGAGACCTTGTCTCAAAAAAAGAAAAAGAAAAAAGTAATTAGGGCTCAGATTCATTTAAGTTTCAAAAGCAAACAACAAAAAAGGCAAACAGTCTAAGAAATATTAACAGAATAAATATACGTTCATGGTTTGATCCTATTTATGTCTGTCATTGTCTTTCGAAATGTTTTTTTCCTCCACATATTTTGCAATTCAGCTTTACTGCTTTCTCTAATGAAATAGTATCTTCAATTAAGTAATGAATAATTAACTCCACTAAGATGAGATTTGTTTTCTGATAAGGACTTGTAAGATCAATCTGAAAAATGTAAAATCTATTTGGTAAAAAATAATATACATCTAGTTTTATTCATTTCTTTTGGGGCCAGGAATTTAGCTCAGAGGTGCAGCACCTGCCTGCCAAAAGTAAGGTCCTGACTTAGATTCCTGGTACCAGGAAAAGAATATATATATACATTTTTCCCTTTTTAAGCAGTTAAAAAAAAAAGCCTCCTACCACCACCTTACTACTGATTGTTTCCTTCACCTAGAATGTACTTCCCTCAAAAAAGTATATCTTTTTTGTTTCATTCCCTTACTTCCTAAGTTTTCTGTCTAAAATTATAAGCCCTCCCCACCCACTATTATTCTATCCATAATCCATACTATGTATCTACCAACTCACCCTATAATTTGTTGTATTTGTTTGCCTCTTCACTATGCTATAAACTCCCTGAGAATGAGATTCTTGTTTTATTCATTTATCTAGTAAATTTAAAAGCTCAGCTGACCCAAATTAGGTTCATACTGGTAGCTTCTCAAGAAACCGAGCTGCTTTTTTTTTTACCTTTGTCATTTATAAACCACCCTTTCAAATTTCATGATTCAGTTTCAGAATTTCTGATTTGTTTCTTCATTCCTACTAAATCCTGTACAAATACTACAACATCTAGAAGTTAGGTCTTACTAATACCACCTGTGCCTGCTAATGGCTACGAGCCATCTTTCTACTCACACCTCACTAGTGCTGCTCTAGCGTATCATATCACTTGTTAACTGGGCTTTTCCTTCTTATCCAGATGACCTCTTCTTTCTGAACACTGTACTGTGCTACCTCTGGAGCATCTATGTCACCTGCCTGCCTGCTGGGCTTCCATTACTCTCTAATTAGGTCCAGTCCATGATCCTCTCCACAAAGCTAACTTCCAGGTTTCCTCACTTGGCCTATTCAACTTGTTCAGATCTATTTAGCATATAATCATGCCACTGCTCAAACTGCCCTGCCAAAATGTTACCACTGGTATCTCCTAGTAAACAAAATTTTGAAATGAGACTTTAATCATTAACTACTGTGAGGAGAAAATAGAATTTAATAGTGGTGTGTCTGAATATGAATGGGAACTTTGTATTTTTTTACTTTATTTCAAAATGTTTTAAAACAATTTATAGTGAACTTATATTCTAATTTGTCTGTGCATTTATATGATTTCTAGATTTTCTGTAAGGAACATACATTACCTCTCAAAACAAAAACCAAAAATACATTTTATTCATCTTATGTTAATGGAAAAAACCAGTATTTTATATAATAGATGTCTATATACCACGAGTACATGTATACACTTACAGATAGCTGAAGTGTAGTCTCAAGTGGTTTTCTTCTAAATCATTTCAATAACTTCAGTTTACTTAAATTTAGTGGAAAAAATGATCCAAAAGTAAGAAATAAACCACTGAACTTTACTAGAAAAAAATCTTTTCTCTAATGAGTAGATCGAAGGGCACAGAACCAGTAGGACTGTCTCTTCTGTCACTCTTCCTGCACAGCTGCCTGTGGATTATTAACTTTCAATCAAATTAGTATTGAAAATAATTTCACATTTAGGTAGAGAGCTTCAAATACTTCCTTTACCACTTGAATAGTGGGGAAACAATGGATAAACTACTTCATTTCAGCTGACTCTTAAATCTCATATGAATTTTTAGGATAAATGAGAAGCACAGAAATTGTTCAGCATAGGACTGTCACAAATGTTAGCCATTATTGCTATGCCAAAATCTTCAATTTCACTTAATAGTTATAGAATACATACTTGGTTTCAAAATTACATTACAGCATCATTCTGTTCTGTAATTAGTAAATCACTGACTTATTCCTTCATGGGTCTTTAAAGAATGTCCACTTCAGCTCATTCTATGAGTAGGGAGGGGGGACTGACATTATTTAACCTTTGTAATAAATCCGCCCTTCTAGTTATGTGGCTTTTTTTTAAAGGCAGATCTTGCTAAACTGCTCAGGCTAGCCTTGAATCCGTGACTTTCCTGCTTTCGCCTCCAGAGCAGCTGGGATGACAGACACTCACCACGGCATTTGGTCTTACCGGGCTTTACATATGAGACACAGGACAAACCACTAAAACAAAGCTCTCTAATATTTTCATAGAACAATTCACACCTCCCTATCTCAGTATGTTCTGTGCTTTTTCCTGGGAATAAATTCCCTTTCTTCTCTTGTTTGTTGGGCAATCATCTACTAAAGTTCAAAATGTGATTAAAATATTTTCTCTGCGAAGTCATTCTTGACAGTTTCACCAATGTTTTTTTGTTTATTTTCTTTTTTGGTTTTTTTTCCGGTACTGGGAATTGAACTTACGACCTTGCGCTTGCCAGGCAAGCGCTGTGCCGCTGAGCTAAATCCCCAGCCCCCCACCAATTATTTTTATTAGATATAAATTTTCCCTAAGAGATCAGAATATAAGTTTTCAGGTAGAGAACAAGTCACTGTAATCATTGTATTCCTAGGACTAATACATATTGTTTAAAAAGAGTTCATAAAAAGTTTTTAAATTGCGTCTGCATTTCCCTTACCTCTACTTCTTTTTCCAGATTTATCAAACATTTAATTGAATGCTAGGCATGTCGTTAGGGACTTTCACCTATGTAGCAATGGTGAGTTTTTGCTAATTGACTATACTGTGCTAACTAACTGCTATGGAGTTACAATAAATAGTCCTACAATTGTTTTCAGATTTAGCTGGCAAGAAATTAAAAAACTAATATATACGTAAGAATTCTAAAATAGTTAATGGATAATATGAACTTGATAAATCAGTAAACTTCAGATATTAATGTTAACACAGGCTGAAGGACCTGGGGAATATCACATGTTGGAAGTAAGATTTGAAGGATGTGCTTATAATATTGAGAGATAGGTGTAATAGAGGAAGAAGAATCATTCAGAGAAAGTGGAAGGTTAGGATCACAGAAAGACCACAACAGAAAATGACTGACATACTTGCACAAGAGGACATCACTGGACTGACGACTGGTGATGCAGACTCATGCAAAATAGGTTGAAAAGTTCATATGTAAAATAGGCCATAAAAGGTACACATCATACTAGAAAAAACTGTTTTCTTACTATTCCACATTTTTCTATCCTGTGTTTTTTCCCAGACTCCATTAGGTCTAGTTAGTTGCTTTAGAAAATGAAACCAGACAAAAGTCTTACTGTGATTTTCTCTATGGCTGCACAAAACTTGGTAAGGACTGGTTATCACCAAGAAGACTATAATTAGAAGTTGTTTGGAATCTTACAGAGTTAGTTAGGCTTCACTCCATTCCAGAGTGGGAAGGACAAAAACAACTGACATGAATGGGAACAGTATACATAATGAAAACTGTCTCGAGGATATTCTCTGGACCCTGAGCTTTTCATGTAACACATTACTAAGGCTCCAAGAAGGTCAGGCAATGGGGACTATACAAACTGCTCTCCTTAAGAGACTTGCGGGGGGGGTGGTCACAGAATCAATGTCTGAAATAACAGTACTGGCAGGTGACTCAATTTTAATTCTTCCTCTATTAAATGCAGCATTATTTTACTGGGGAAAACAGGTATAGTGCAGTGATGAACAGCACAGACTACATGCTGTTGGAGGCAGCTGTTGCTACATTTACAACCTTAGATCTTATTAGCTGTGTGACCTTGGATATGGTTCCTAACTTCCCTGAGCCCCAGTTTCTACATCTGTAGTATCCCTTCATTTTCTTTTTTCTATTTTGTCTTTTTGGGACAGGGTCTCGATATGCAGTTCAGGCTGGCCTCAAGCTCATTTTGTAGCCTAGGCTGGCCTCGAACTCACAGGAATCCTCCAGCCTCAGCCTCCCAAGTGCTGGTATTACAGGCGTGCACCACCATGCCTGACTCCCTTCATTTTTATACCATAAATCTATTTTTAAGAAGGCAGGGAAGTTTGCATTTGGGAGTTAATTACACAAACAGCTGTAAAAACAAATAAATATCAGTTGTATCACTGTTAACTCATCCCAAACCCAACAACGAAACTTACTGTTTCTGAAATGTCCATTAGTAATCTTTAGTTTTTGGTAACAAAGAATTTTAAGAAATATTTGATAATTCTTTAAGAAACCAGATTGTAAAATAGTCATTTCTAAGATGGTTCTCATATGGCTGATACTTTAAGTGCTATCTATCATCTATCTACCTATCTATCTATCTATCTGGTACCAGGAATCGGACGCCTTGCCAAGCAGGCGCTGTGCTGCTGAGCTATATCCCCAGCGCTTTAAGTGTGATTTAAACACTTAACTCTATCAAACAAAAAAAATTCTAAAATCTCAAATTCTCAGGTTATAAACTTTAGTGACATGAAAACAAAATTTAGTTAACATATATTGATAAACATGCTTAATAAGTATTAAGTAAACCAAGAGGGAAAAAATGGAAAGAGAAACTAGCATACGCTTGTAAAAGGAAGGTGATATTGTCCTTTAGACACACCATTCATCATCCAGAGATTTTCTGTGGGCTGGGGATGTTGCTCAGTGGTAAACGTTTGTCTAGCCTGTTCAATCCCCAGTATTATAACTCCACCAAGAGGTTTTTTTCTCTTTTTGAAAGGAAAGGTGACTAGTAGGAGAAACATGTATATTACCAACTCTTTGCACTTCTGAAATCCTCAAAAATTGACAAGATGGATGTTATAGCTGCCTTGACTTTACAAGGTCTCTGGCTAATGATTCAGGATGTAGGCACTAAAAAAAGGCAAGGGTAACAGAGCTAACAGAAATCCCTATAAAAGCTTTGGAAGAAATTCTCAGGCTATATGCTCTACAAAAGAAAATTTGTTTTTCACTGTCAGCACCAGCATATGATTTTTACTGCTGACCCTCTTTAGTTCAGTAGGCTGGGTGTGGTGGCACATTCATGTAATCCTAGCACTAGGAGAGTGAGGCAGGAGGATTGCCCCGAGTTCAAGGCCAGCAGCCTGGGTTATATAGTGAGTTCAAGACCAGCCTGAACTACACAGCAAGATCCTGTCTTAAAAAAACAAAAACCAAAGCATATAAAACTAATAACATAAATGAAAATTATATTTAGTTAAAAACAAGTCTAATACCAAATTTATTTCCAGAGATAGTGATGAAATCTAGGTTACATATGAAAGTTATGTTTGATTTCTGTTGTAGCATCACAACATCTAATGATGGAAATAAATAGTTTTAGGACTATAGAACCATTTTAAATTATTATTTACAATATTGTTCACTAAGAAATAAACATTACCTGTTGCAGTAGTCAACCACAGACTCCCTGGTTGTAAATAAAGCTTCCTCTCCTTTCTTGGCTTTTGCCCACTTTGAATCCAAAAGGCAATCCACTGCTTTTGAAGCTAAGGAAGAGATTTATCATTTTAAATTTAGTATACATGGAAATTTATTTCTGAGGAATATTTCAGAAAGCAAACTTCAAATTCTGACAACAGAAAATAAAACAGCTTAATAGAAAATTGTTTAATTGATCATCGTAAGAGTTCCTCAAAACCTCAACTTGTTATACTGATAAGCAACTTTTCAAAGCAAGGCTGGGAAATAAATGGCATTCAGAAGTATTAACTAAAGCAAGATAAATTTATAGGGAAACAGTATTAACAAATTTCAAAATATTTGTAACTATCACTCATCAAATAATCACAGTCAAATACAGCATAAATCAAAATCTTTCTCTTGGTCCCCACGATAATAAAAATTCTCTTTAAGAAACCCACTGAGCAGTAACTGAACAATGTACTGTTGTCACCAGAAAAATAATGTAGTTTTTAAAAGTCTACATGTTCTCTTACACTAGTCCTGTTCCACAGACAGCTTGAAAGCAAGGCCTATGATTTGAAGAGATTAGCATGTCTATTTTTTTGAAACTTACTTTTTTTTTTGGAACTGGGAATTGAACTCAGGACTTTGTGCCTGCTATGCAGGCGCCATGCTGCTGAGCATGGCCCCTTGAAACTTTCAATGAATATCAAAATCATTAATAAAACTAAAGAAAAAGGCAAAGAATTTCTTCTCTATGACAACAATTTTGATAAATGACAAATAATTTTAACTGATGAAATAGGCAAATATAACCACTATTTACAAGCTATGGTCCTACACAATGGAAGGCATCAACTTATACTAAAGTTGTATAGCTAGAGTGAAGAATCAAAGCTCCTAGTTAGTTCCAAGTATACATATTATCAAACAAAAGGTAGTATTGTAGAACACTGACAATAAACTATTTTTAAAATTTTCAACAAGTATATGACTGGAAAGTACTTAATCTTTTTATTACAGACATTGTCCCTTATAAAAGGAACAATAAGATAATCAACTGCCATACGCCATTACCCCCTTTCAATAATCACACTTGAAAAGCACTTAAAAACTTCTACCTAGTCCAAATTTAGGTAACTTCATAAATTATGTACACTACAATGATTTCATTAATATAATCCTACCAATAAAATAATCAACCCGGTGACCCATCATATTCGTGGATTTTGTTGGACAGTTGAATCGAAGATACTTGGCTACAGCTTTCTCTTCTTTAGATGGTTCACCAACTTCCTACAACAAAAGAATATTACTTTAGTGTAAACTTCTATTTCCTTTTTTTTTTTTTTGGTACCGGAAATCAAACTCAGGACTTGCCACTAGCTATATCCCCAGCCTGTAACCCTCTATTTCAATAACTCATGTACAGAAGAACTTATAGATTTGTTATGTAAATCTTTCAAGCAAAATATAGGCCTTCCTTTGAAGACTTCTCTGGAACAGGCCTAGTGTAAGAGAAAAATGGAGATTTTAAAAAACTACATTATTTTTCAAATACAAATTAATTGCTCCAAACCCGATTGTTTCTTGGCCTTAACTATATGGTACTGGGTTATTTTTCCAGTATGGTAACTAACTTGCACAAATTCACCTTCACTTTTGTAGGACCTCTTTTTAATACCTACAAAGATAAGATGTGGCCAATAGTAAGTGCCCAGTGTCTAAGTAGAAATAGGTGCCATAAATGTTAAATAATAATCACCGATATGTACTTCAACAGTAAGAACAAGAGTTCTCAAATTAGCCAGAGAAAGCTACCTCATGTGGTAACTGTAAGAACTACTGCGATGCTGATGACTGGTACTCCTTCCTTTATAGTTAGATACCAGATACTGACTGGAATTCCTTTCCCACTTTGTCTTCTCCTCTTCTCAGTAACAGCGAGGCAAAAATCAGAAATGCAACAACAGATATATTACTATGTCATTTGAAGAACTGATTAATAAAAGTGCTTGGATAGTAGTTTTACAAAGACTGTTCTAATCTATGGTGGGCATTTGGTGCACGCCTGTAATCCCAGCTCTTGGGAATATGAGGCAGGAGGACCATTGTGAGTCTGACGTCAGCCTGGGCTATATCTAAACTACAAAGTGAGATCTTGCCTCAAAAAAAAAGACTGCTTTAATCTTTCCTTGTTTTCTTTCTTCTATATCTGTTCCCAACTTTTTTATTACACAGTCTACAACCACCAGCTCTGGGTAACTTGTGGCAAAAAATTAAAAACTCAAAGCACTCAACCCGAATGAAGACTACTGCAAAAACAAAATACAAGGCAGAGCATGGTGGCATATGCACTCAGGAGGCTGAGAGGCATGAGGATGCTTGCAATTTCGAGAAGAGCCTGGGCTACAAAGTGAGCTCAAGGCCAGCCTGAACTGCATAGCGAGACAGTCTCAAAACAAAAACAAAAACAAAACCCCAAAAAACCCAAATACAATATTTATGAAAAACTTCCATTTTTACTTATGTACCAAAAAGTAAAATCTTAACATGTACAAGTTTAAAATGTAACACTCCAAAGTTAACTAACATTTATAAGGTTTATAACAATTTGAGACCTAGCTATAAAATATACTTGATGTAATAAAAGGTAAAAATTTATTTAGTAAAATGGGTGAAACCATGCAAAAATCTATTAATGTATGTTGATATGTTATATGATAGTATTTAATTATGTTTGTATAATACACTATACTTCTTGGAGGCTCATCTATTAGCTGAAAGTTAACACAACAGCAAGAAGTGAAACTAACTGGTTTATAGAAACCATACTTTATAATCACACCCATATATACTCAATTTTTCCTCATTTTATACATTTACTGTCTATTTAAGTTTACTTAATTAACTGATTAATTGTAACTGGGTTAGGGTTGCTTATAAAGAGTACCGAGCAGATAAACCATTCAAATTCACACTTCCTTAGTGTTTATCCTAATTTTGGGTGCTATTAGTATCAAAGATTTGTGAGGTATGATACCTATACTTTATTATATAAGTACCAAAAGCAGCAACAGTTGTTTTCTGAAAGGAGAGGCAGGGAAGGAATTTTATGAAGTAGGAGCGAAGTTATTAATGGGGATGGGAAGAGCCAGAAAACTCTTAAAAGAAGAAGTTAGATTTCAAAGATAAACAAATTTTGGATAAATAGAAGACCATAAGCACTGTGGTTGAGAATGAATATAAAATCTGGCTTCAGTAGAGGCCAGGAGTGAAGCACTGGGAGGTTAAGTAGAGGTAAGTAGAATAAAGTCTTCAATGCTGGCTAAAAAAAATTAACTTTACCTTGTAAGAGAAGAAACGCCAGTAAATTTTTTTAATAGAACAGAATTATAAAAACAGTTTAAGCATTTAGTGTTGTGCATAGAACGAATTGGAAAAAAAAAAGTAGGCAAGGAAACTAGCTTGAGTATCAATGCAATATTCAAGTAAATGTGATACAGGACTAAAAGCAGAAAATGTAGATATTTAAAACACTTCAAATGTAGGACAGGTAAAACTCAATGATAGAGTCTGGGGATTTAGCTCAGTGGCACAGCGCCTGCTTGGCAAGCACAAGGTCATGAGTTTGATTCCTGGTACCGGAAATAAAACAAAACAAAACAAAACAAAACAACTCAATGATAGATGAATGAAATGGCTAGGTAAAGAATGTCAGATTTCTATGTTGATCAAGGGAAAGGACAGTTTTCTAATAAGAAAGGAAATCTGGAGAAGTGATTCTGCAGAACACATTATTTTAGGAATTCAACACTCATATTAACATTCAGTTACTGATCACATATAACTGCACTAATTTGACTGCTTTATCAAGGCATCACATGAACAAGGAAATCTGACGTTATTTTGCACTCCGAAAATTTTAAATCTCATTTTAACAATTCCAAGTCAACCAATCTTTCTACAACTGCAATCCTACCTTGTTAAAGACATTATTGAACAATATGAACATAAGATATTCAGAAGATACAAGAGTTGGATAATCTCTTCCAACTAGACACAGAATTACTTTTCCACTAATACTTGCATAAAGTATCAGCAACTTTTAAGTTAGCCATGTTAGACTGCCTTTAATGAAAACCATGTAATTCATGTCACCTGCTGGAGCTCTGGAACAAGAAAGACACTGTAGAAGAGTAGCAGGAGAATGTGACTGTGGGAAGTTGGTTTTAAATATAGGAGATTCTGCATGGTGTCTCTCTACCCTCACTGCTCCCCTGCCGCAGGCTACAGGGTATACAAAACAGTCTTACAGTCTTATTTACACAGTGGACTGCACTATCTCCGCTCGGTTCCTTTCTGACATGAACAAAATATTTTCCTAAGTTTTCTACACTTTCAATGAGAAATAAAAGCCTTTTGAGAATATTAGTGCCCACTAATAAACAGAAGCCAGCCCATTCACTCTCAAACAAATGGGGAGAATTTTTTAGCTCAAGTAATGAACACAACAGTGTTAGAATGAGTACCCTACAAGCCAATGAGTTTAGGCTGGACTGTCTTTCCCAGAACATCAATGCTTCCGCTACTGCAAATCACAACCCAGAATTATTTAAATTGAAGTTTAGTTAGAACAATCTTATAAAATTGTTTAACAGATACTATGTTTACTTTAGAACACATTAACACCCAAGTACTACAATGACAGTGGTTACAGTATCTATGGTCCACCTATACAGAGTTACAAAAACAGCAGTGCCAAATACTTGAGAATGGAAACAGGTTAACAAAATAAAATCTGAAAGCTGGAAAGGACCTCAGAGAAATCATTTGCTCAATCTTGACTACAGCGGTATTCTTATATAATACTTCTAATTAACTTCCATTGTACTATCTCTGTAGCAATAGGTTTACCAGATAATTGCAAAACCCTTCAATTAAGCCTTTGGAGGTTTCCAGACTTAAGACTGGCTTCCTCCTCTTTTCTTCAAAAAGTCCTGACAAGTCAGACCTATAATCCGGCTGCAGAGTCCCAAACTTTCACTTTTGTTTCCTTTCCTGAAATTAAGTACATAAACCCATGATATAAGCAGTGTTTTATTGCCAGGGAGACAGATGAGTGCAACAAAAGTAACTGATAGAGGTTATACAAGTTCTAAGAAGCAGTAAGCCATTAAAATGTCCCCAAATTTAACTGGATATTAGACACTGGTCGGGATGATTCTCTTTAGCAGGGACAAGTCATAAAAGTCTTTGTTTTATAATTTAATATAAAAAAGAATTAAATTATTTCATAACAACTTATTTTTATCAGTGGTGAGGTGGAAAGAATATTCAACTGCAAACTAGAAGATTGATCTAAATCTAGTTTTACTATCTTAATAAGCAATCCAGGATCATGAGGCTGTTGGGTGAGATCAGTAATTTACGTCCACCACTCTACTTTTGTATCAGACTTAATTTGGGGAACAGAATTCCAAACAAATCCTACTACAAACTTTTCAATTTTTAAATTTCATACCATGATTCTAAACCAGGCTGCCAGTAAGCAGTACTTATTCTATACAAAGTTACCACATTTTCTTAAAAAGTTACATCACTGCATTTCTTAAAAACTTTGTTTTTAAAACTTTATTTATTTATATTTGTTTTTTGTCTTTTTGAGATAGGGTCTTGCTATGCAGTTCAGGCGGGCCTTGAGCTCACTTTGTAGCCCCAGCTGGTCTTAAACTTGCAAAGATCGTCCTGCCTCAGCCTCCTGAGTGCTGGGATAACAGGTGTGTGCCTCCACACCCAGCTAGTAACTTTATTGTTAAATGTTTTATTAATTTGGATTTAGATCATTCTTATTTGAGAATCTTTTTTTTTTATTTGAGAATCTTAATCATTAAAATTTTACAACAGAATGTCAATGAACATACAGTTCATTTCAGGTCTTCAGTGACTGGTAATTTAGGTCCAAGAAGGAAATGTGACAATTGCTTGCTCCTCAATTTTGATTGGACACCAGAACACCAGGATTTGAGGTTACATTGTACCAGAAAAGAGAAAAAAAAAAAAAGAATCAGCTTCTTTTTAGAAACTGAAATCCAAGGTCAGTGAATCTATTTAACAAAAAATTTTCTCTCAACATGAAACATTAAGTAACAAATGACAGGAAACTCAGTTGAGGCTGCATACCAGTGTGTCTTTAAAGTCTACCACAGAATCTTTTTTGTAACAAACTCTGAACTTTGTCACTACATTTGATCTTTTTACTTTAAGTGGTGCCAATATCTACTTTGATTCTCGGGGAGGAAAAGAAATGAGGAATTTCCTAGGATAGAGTACTTTTATAAATTTGTCACGACTTCACAAAAGTAGTACTCCAAGATCTCCCACAAAAATTTTACACAGCCACATAGACAACTTTTATGATAGGAAAATAACTTATTTTCATTTTGCAGTGTGCATCAAAGGGCATAAAATTCTCTCGTGTAAATAGTAGTAAGTACTAACATCAGCTTCAATACAAATTCTAATAAAATATTGTCTGCCCACGTCAAAACTCATTTTTAAAAACAATCAGGCCGGGAGTGATGGCACACGCCTGTAGTACCAGCCCTTGGGTGCCTGAGGCAGAACTGCCTTGAGTTCCGGGCCAGCCTGAGCTGCACACACAGTGAGTTCAAGGCCAGCCTCAACTGTATAGTGGGACCCTGTCTCAAAAAAAACAGATCAGATACTCAAATAAACAACAGAAGTAAATGTCTATATAACTAAAAACTTAATTGTTTACTGCATAAAACAGTTGTTCAATACTCTTTAGCATATCAAAGAATGCTTAACAAAAACCAAAATATCAACTCAACTTAAATCCTTCATTTGGCAAGAGGACAAGAAGGGAAGAGGTTCTGTGCCAAATACTTTTAATAAGTAATTGACTCACCTATTGTTTTCATAGCAACTCTAACTGTACAGGATTTTTAAAATTTTGTTTTTAAGGTAAACATCCCTTATTAGAGATGGAGAAACTGACTAACTTACTCAAAATTACTCAGCTAATAATTGGTGAAGCTGGGATACAAACAGGCATACTCTGGCTTTAGTTTTACCTCTTGGCTATTAGCACTACAGTGTTATATACCCATTTTGCCCACCTTTCTGTTTAACGTAAGATCATAACTGAAATATGAGCAGAGAATTGTATCACCTTTACAAAAGTAAAGAGCAGCTGAAACTATAAAACAGTGTGCATCAACGGGCATAAAATTCTCTCGTGTAAATAGCAGTAAGTACTAACATCAGCTTCAATACAAATTCTAGTAAAATATTGTCTGTCCACGTCAAAATAACAACACTAAATTTCAAAAGCTTAGGAATAGTGTAAGAAACTTCTCATTAAGCTGGGTGTGGTGGCGCATGCCTGTAATCCCAGCACGCGGGAGGCTGAGGCAGGAGGACCGATGTGAGTTTAGAGGCCAGCCTGGGCTACAAAGTGAGTTCAAGGCCAGCTTGACCCGCATAATGAAACTGTGTCTCAAAAAAGGTAAAAAACAAAAACAAAAACAAAAACACTTCTGACTGACCTTAAGCCCTAGTTTTAAGACCTGTCTAAACTTGGGAGTTTGCCTCTAATTCCTTTCTGCAACCTATTCACAATTACTTCGTCATTTCCGTCAAAGTGCAAATTTATTGATATCTTGTCTAAAATACTCAACCAGGAACACCTGTGAGTCAATAAACTGACAACTTAAAACAGTGCAGTGATAGAAAGGAAACAGTCATTCTAAGCAAGGACCAGAAAGACAATGAGTGTAACAATATGTGTTTCGCATGTCAACAATTTACTACACGCTACCGATTTAGGATGCCTTTGGTTTCCAAACACGTAAACAGATGAAGCAACTAACGAGCATCCTGAGTCTAAGATGTTTAACATTATCTAATCCCCCTGGCAAAGAACAGGAAGGACAAGAAAACTGCCGGGAAGGAATGCACAGTGACGTGCGTGTGCAAGGAGGCAGGGATGTTATGTAGGTTATGATGACAAACCGGCATGTGAAATGTTTCTGGGCGCCACCAGCTCGGTGCAGCACCACTGGGGCTGTTTGTTTACTCCGTGTCGCCTGGAAGACAGCCAGGAAGCTTCAAGCGATCTATTCGGTTCAAAAATGTTCAGCTGGGAAGCCCAACGCGACCGAGCATCGGGAAAGGGGGCCGCAGCCCGGGCCTCCGGGCGAGCCGCGCAAGTCCCGGCCCTTCCCGCTCCGGAGCCCGGCGCACAAAGAGCGGCCGCCTCGGGCGGCCCTCCGCCTCCTACCCACGACCGCGACCTGAACGCCGCGGCACCTGCGGCGCAGGATGCGCGAGCGAGCGAGGGGCCGCGGAGGG